ATAGTATTCTATAGGTTCTTCAAAGTTTACAAGATAATGTTCATTACCTTACAGAATTGTCCTAGTCTCCTTAAATTTGTGACAAAATTATCATACGAAATCATTCCATTTTTTGCCATATTCTCCTGCACGATTGCATTGTTTATGTTCTCTACTTTGTTTCTTTTTTTTAGTACTTTATACACTTGTATCTTTTTCTCATTCTTTTCGTCCTTTCATGATCTGTTGACCTTGTTAATTTTATTTTTGACATTTTTCATAGACCTTATGAATGATGAAAACTTGCTTCAGGTGTCACATTCTTGCTATGTACAATTTGATGTAAAAAATGTTGTGCAGCGCCTTCTTAGGCAGTCCTGCATATAAGTCGAAAGCTTCACTTTCGTGTGATAATATCCGAAATGTAGGATATTAACGGTTTCTTGTAAAATTTCCGATTGAAATTTTCAAATTCATGTGTACAAAGCATATAGGGTTTATAGAATAGTAATTTCGCAACCTGACGTTTTTGATCTAGTGGGATTAGCTTTTGTTTCAAAATGCGATTTTTTCAGGCGCTCCCCTGACTCGATAAACTTGTGTAGTGGACCGTCAGGCCCATCAGGAAGTTCCGGATCTATCGCATCAACAATTCCGTCGGGAGGATTGCAGGTGTGTATAAGTTTTTGTTTGTTTGTAATGAAATGGCTTTGCAATACGGGTTTAACCAGGGTGTGTACGTGGAGCGACTTCCGCCTCGGAGTGACGGAACGGTGAAAGAAGCGATACGGGATGCGCTTAAGAAGCATGGACGTATTGTGGACATATCGATTGAGGGTGATGGTGATGCTCGCAAAGCACTCGTCATTTTCCAAAGGTAAGCATTAATCTTGTTTAATTCTCCATTTTTTTGCTCTTGAATTATTTGCAACAGGGTTGTCGATATGGAGAAGCTTGTGAATGATTCCCATATCTCTGTTCTGTCGATGCGTGTGCGTATTCGAGCAGCTAGCCACGTTGTTGTCCAGGTGATTTTTGTTTTGGGTTTTGCCTCTCAGGGTGAAGATATGACTTGTTGTTTTTTTAACAATGTTTATTTTTGCTGCCATTAGTATTGCCCTTGCGTGTGAAATTATTTTGATTATGATGAACGAGTATACGAAAATGCGCGTCGCATAGAACGATTTTTGAATGTTATTGTTGGATGCATAAGAATACGTGCTTCCATGATGGCATATAAGTTTATATCAGCATTAGATTTACTAGAAGTAGAAGCATAATGGCTTTCATAGCAATATAACATTTGCAACGAGACAGCATTGTCTAAAAATACTTCTTTTCGATATTGTTTCCTTTTTCATCCTGTTGGGCTCAAATCATAAACATTAAATCTTCCTTTTTTCCTCAACATAACTATTGAATTCCAGGCAACTTGAGTAGGAAACTGATCGATTTGACTTTTTTGTTACTTCAATTCGGCATTCAATAAAATGCTTAGACTACGCATAATTCAATCTGGCATTTAAAGCGAACATCAGTGTTGGGATTACTCAGCAATTTGGAACGTTTGCAATGCAGCTCTCATGTTCCTATTTCATATT